GCAGCTGTTCCAACTAATTCAGCCAGTTAGTCTAAATAATAATTCCACAGTTCAGGGCAGCTACAGCTGTTTTAACGCCTGCAGGTAATTCTTATGTCTATTGCTAGCTCCAAAGGCATACAAAGATGCCTTAGCTGGTATCTTCATATTGTGTGTCTTGAGGGGAGGGTGTGTTGGTTCTTTTGTTTGTTTTGTTTGTTTTTGTTGAGCCTGATAGGTTAAAAAAACCCCATAAAGTACTGGTGGGTAACCCACATTAGTTATTTTATTTTTGCAATTGTGAGCTAAAGCTTTAAATTTTTCAGGTACTGTGCAGGATGATTGGATTTCTTTTTGTAGTAATCAATTTTGATGTTAAGTTGACAAATTCTGTTCAATTGTAGAGCTAAATGGGCTAAGATTCCAAATTTGTATTGTTTGTAGTCACTTAAAGCAACTCAGTTTTGAGATATGTGAAGTTCTAGAAGGGTCTGAATTGTGTTCTTAGTTTGTGGCTTGATGTTACTTTTATAAAGCTTCATTTGCAGTATTTGTGTGATCGTGTATTTTGTTTGGCTATTTAATAGCAGCTGTAGCATTTGTCATAAAATTAAGTGTTTAAATGGACAAGGGAAACTTAATGTACCTGTTTCTTCTGTGAGAGGAAAAAAACCTAACCTGAACTCTGTATGCTTAGAGTGTACTTGTGTTTGTTCATTCTGATATTAACTGTAGTGTTTTTCCATGCTGTGAGCAGTGGAATATATAATAATTTCATATGGGTTATGGCTAAACTTAAATGTAGAATTTTTAATGCATGTCACTAAAAATTCTCTTGCATGTTGGCTTTATGAAATCAAGAACACTGGGTGAAGGACTCTCAGTCCCTGGGCTTTGTTTATCCTATGGAGCTCAACATACAGAGTTACCTGCTGTAATGGATGTATTCAGAGTCAGACAATCATAGCTGACTTCACAGAATCTGATACTGAAATTATGCAGCACCAAAACCTGTTCTAGAGAATCAATATAAGCTAGCTCTTAAAAACAAAACAAATCACCCAACAAATAAAAGCCACAACTTTTTCCAACAGTATAAAATAACAGATAGGCTTTTCTAGTCAGCTGTAGAGATCTGTGTAAGAATTAAGTACAAGGGATAATGGTGGGGGTGATTACTGTTAAATGCTTTCATTGCAAAATCATTCTCCTAAGGAAAACAAAAATAAGATTAAAACCAGTAGCCTAACACACTTTCACTTAACTTTTTTTTTTCCCAGGCTGTCACAGTTTTTCCCTGCTGGCAAGCTAAATGAAGAGACTTCTACACTTATAATTAGTATTCAGAGGTTGAAATGTTACACCTCTGTTCTTATTCAGAGAGTAAAATATTACTTGCCAGCATGTGAAAACAAGTTGAAATCTAAAGCCAGGTGCATAATGTCCTCAATCACTTGTTGAGTTCCTAAGCTATTTTGGAATCACACAATGCCAGGATATAATTTATTCTAGTTCTGGTAAGTTGTTGTGTGTTTAAGCTTCAGTAGTAGGACCACTTAAACCCATTCTGTTAAACAAGTTACAGGTATACACACTTTTTTTTTGGTCATGTTGTCTTGTGCTACTGAGTGGTTCTTTACTGAGTTAGTAAGTAGAGGTACAGAGTCTTAATGTAGGTTTTGGGTCTTTCTTGGTACTCTCTCCTATAAGCAAGTGCTGTTACTCCATCTTTTGACTTCAGGGCTGTGGTGGGTTAACCTTGGCCAGCAGCCAGATGCCCACCTGGCCACTCACTCCCCCTCCTCAACAGGATGGGGGAAGAAAATAGGATGGAAAAACCTATGGCTCATGATGGGACAGGAATGTTGCTTACCAGTTACCGTTGTGGGCAAAGCAGACACAACTTGGGGAAAGTTAATTCAGTTTGCCAATTGAAATAGATTTGGATAAAGAGAAACAAAGACCAAAAAAATTAATGTCTTCCCCTACATCTCTGTTTTTCCCAGGTTGAACTTCATCTCTTAATTCCTAACACCTCTACATCCTTCCCCCTGAGCAGCGTAGGGGTACAAGGAATGGGAGTTGTGATCAGTCCATTACACTTTGTCTTTGCTGTTCCTGCCTCCTCATGCTTTGTCCGTGCTCCAGTGTGGAAAATTTCCTTCAGGAAATATCCATCTGCTCTGGTATGGGATCCTCCACAGGCTGCAGTGTGAACATCTGCTCTTCCATGGCTCACCTCCTCTCCCTCCTTCTCTGTCCTTGGTGTTTGTGGCTGCTGTTTCATGCTCTTTTTTTTCTCTTCCTCCTCCTATTCTGCACTTTTGTCCTGTCTTAATACGCTTTCCTAGAGGTGCCACCCTCTTGCCTGCTGCTTCAGCTGTGCCCTGCAGCAGGTCCAGTGGAGCTGGCTGTCTCCAGGACAAGGCAGCCCTGACCTCTTCTCAGTGCTGGCCACCCTGCAGCCTCTCACTACCAGCACCTGGGCACCTGCACCCAGTGCAGCCTAGAGATGGCTGCTGTTAGGACTTCAGTCACTCTAAGTAACTTAGAAACTAACTTTCTGATTAATAAATAGTGTTCTAATTGACTTTGCTCTTTTTACTCTAAGCCTTATGCTGTCATGTTCTTATTTCTCTTTGATACTATTTCTACGTGTTGTATCTTCAGGTTTATGTTCAGCTGCAGTGCTGGGGCAAGAAAACATCATCAACTAGTTATAACTGGCTTTATGTTTTTACCCTTCATCTGCAGCTGCTTTATAGCAGTAATAGGGCCTTCAGAAGAAAAGGAGCAGTTGTTGAAGTGAAGGTTATTTATGCCTGTGTCTTCAAGGGTATCTTGTCAAGGACTTTTTTCAATTCGAAAACAGAATTAAGAAAGGAGGAAGCCACAAACAAAATGTACCAGGACACAAACTGGGAGAGGTACGATAAGGGAGGTAGTGATGAGAGCCAAACCTGGGCACTGACTGATGAGGAGGTTTGTGTGTGTGTGGATGTTCATTCCAGTAACTTCTTCTGAGTGGAGACTTACTCCTGGGGATCTAGGGGAAAAAGGGGGAAATCAGAGCCCAAATACCTACGACCTAAGAAAGCAAAAGTGGAGACAATGACAAGAAATAAACTTGCCAGTCACACTAATTGATGGGCTATCAAGAAACCACAGACACCACTTCCAGGAAGATCAGCCTGGGCTTTGCATCTGATAAGGCTGTAAACCGAGTGGGTGGGGAATCCCACACAATGGGGTGGGAGGAGTGTGGCAGGGGAAGGGGAGCTGATTGCGTGTAAAACTGGACCGGTCAGTATGCTTGTCTGGCTAAGCCTTTCACCTGATTGCCACAGTCTGTCTTATCTTCTTTCATCTTCTTATTAAATCTTTTCTTAATTTTCTCTCTGCATAATGTCAGTCTTTACCTATGTACACGCACGTGTGCTGCAAAGATGAAGTGCCAGCTACTGAGAGCTGTGTGTGTGAGTGGACAGGGTGTCAGCTACTGGATTGACTGAGGAGGGGCGTCTCAGTGCCAGCTGCTACTACAGCATGGGTAGGGGTCCTGAAAACCGGCTACTGCAGGGGAGCACTGGTGGCTGGAGCAGGACTGTGGGTCACAGCCCATGTGCCTGGTGTGAGCTACTGAGCCAGTGGAGGGGCCGAGTGTTCTATCTTACCCAAACCTGTTGTGCATGTATACTCACTAGCAAACTTGAAGCTGTACCTGCTGGTGAGGCAGTGACCTTTGTGATGGGTGTAAGGGTCTGGGATCTGGGCAAGGGTGTTGGGTGGACAGAGGGAGCTGTGCTGGTGCTTGGGGGACCTGTGAATATTTGTATATTTGTGAATCTGGAGAGAGTGTCAAGTGTGTGTCTGCACTAGTGACCTTCTGCCTCTGCCAGCCAAAGAGGAGGAGACTTGGCTCTATGTGCTTGCATTTTGTGCAAGTCCTGTGTGTAGGTGCTGTTGAAGGCAGAACCTTGTCTGTGACAGCCTGTGTGACCAGCGGTGTTAGTGTCCCATGTGTGTCCCTGGGACACATGCTGGCCTTTGCTAGTGGTTCAGTGTCCCAAAGGGAAAGTGGCAGCCGTGTCCTTCACCCTGGGCAGAGACCTGGAGGCATGGGACTGGGCTCCAGTGGCCAGGTAGGTGGCAGTCCGTAGCCAGAGTGACTGGGAGAGGCAAGCACTTCTGACATCCCTTAACAATTTACACTTGTCAATTTTTAAGTAAAGATGTCTTAAGTATTTCTGGTTCTGGCAATGATATTATACACTTTTGGAATTTAGCTGGTGGTACTTAGGAGTTAAACATATAAGATCTCTGTCAAATGGTTTAAGTTCAATGAGGTGGATGACCTTAAATTTCTAAAAAGAAAATTCTGTTGTTCCAGTCTTACAAACAAATAAACAAATAAGTAAAGCTTAAGTAAAATAAGCTGTTATACAGTGCTACTTATGCTTAGATCTCTGGCACTGTATATTTATGTGCCACTATCTGAGCTAAAAGTAGACTTAAAAAATAAACCAATTGTGCATGTCCTATTTCAGACTGGGAAAATAAGTAGGATCATATTGAAACTTATAATCTACCTAAATTGCTTACTGTGGTTTTAAGTGTATTTAAGAAAATACATAGTCGTGTTTAACTTGTGCCCAGAAAAAAATGCATTGGCATCTGTTATCAGAGTTCACAGATGTTCTTTACTGGACACCTGAAAATGCTTTCATTCTTGCAATATAGCCATCTATGTAGAATGTCCTTGCCCTCCCTGTTTCCTCAACAGTTAATTTACTTAGGTTATTGTAGCTGACTCTTGTGAAAGAACATCATGATCCATTCTCCTTGTTGGCTTTAAAAATTGTATTTTACTTTGATGTGAAAACCTTTTGCTGTCCAGACACTAAGAAGATCTGTTGCTCTGTGCTAGCAGATAAGGAATTCTACTGTTGCAATACATTTTTGTTGTTAGATTTAGTTAACTCGAATAATTTGGCTAATCTTACTTTTCTTTCTTTCCTGGCAGCCGATTTATTTTGCACATTCCAAGTGAAGAGAGAGATAATGCAATCAGAGTGTGTTTTCAGATTGAACTTGCCCATTGGTTTTACTTGGATTTCTACATGCAAAACACACCAGGATTACCTCAGTGTGGGATAAGAGATTTTGCTAAAGCTGATATCCTTTCTATTACTGTGATTGTTTTCTATCTCGGGATGAAGTGCAAACTGAATATTGTTAATTAAATTTCATACTTCCAGCAAGAAAAGTCAGTTCATGTGTTAGTGATCAAAATTTAGTATTGATAGGTATGTGACTTTATCTGTTCGTTCCTTCCATAATTTTGTGGCATCCATAAAAGATGTTTCTCAGACTGCTAAGGAACTACGGAAAACAGGTGATTTGTGATCTTTGAGGACTTTTCCTCATGGTTGCAATTTTTCAAACCAGGCAGGTTTCAAAGATGAGCTGTCAGAGCTCTTCATGGTGTTTTGTCCCCTTAATTTAATCCCTTTCCAAGTATATAGAGACATAAATGTTAACATAGCTGAAGGTGGCTTGTGTCCCCCCATGAGCAGTGGTATGTATTTGTTGGAAGTACTGACAGCTGCTCCTAGAAACAGTTCTGTTGTTGGGGAGAGGGTAGGTTGTTACTGGTTTTATACAGGTTGGTCTGTACTTTTTTCATTGCTTACAAGAGCTGCTGGAATGGAGGAAAACTGAGGACTTTCATCCAGCAAGTGATTTAGTTAAATTTCCCGTATGTTCTTGATGTGGGATTGGAATATTGCTTCTAACTTTCATGAAAATGTTACCTATGGTTTTGCTACACAGTGTACTTCTTCGTTAGTCTGGTAACAGTAATTTACTTTGAAACACTACAGCTTTTATTTTAATAATAGACTGTAAAAATATTATAATTTTCCTATTGATAGGATGCAGTTATTTTTTATTTATTTTAAGTATGTTTGAAATTGTGAATGGATTTTCAGACCAACAGAATTCTTCCAGTAATTGTAAGCAGTGCAGAAAAAATACAGTGTAATAGATGTTATTTGTTCATTACATCAGCCCCTCTCTAGCTTACATTTGCCAGAAGTATTCTGCAATGTCATATTCTTAAGTACTCTGGAATACTTTTTTATTGGTAGTATAATTTCATACGGAATATATAATATTAATACTTTTATTAAGGACTTGCAGATTTGCTTTCAAAGTTTTAGAGTTATAAAGGTTCATGTTTTCTCTGCATGGTGAGTTTTTGGTAATCTGTATAGGAATTTACATTTCTGTAATTTGATGCCATTAAAGTTTTTTTTTTGCATAGTAAATACTAAAGTATGGATTCTATACTATAGTCTAACAAATGATTGTGGGGAAAAAAATTATCTCCTCTTACTTCAAGCAGGAGACAAAACTGTTTTTGTCTCACTTCAAAATGAGAAAAAATGTGTTTAAGAATGATACATATTCAAAACAATATGGATATCATGTAGATACTTAAAAAATTATTGGGTGGGGCTTCCTTCAAACAAGCAGTCTAGTACAATCTTTTTTATTGTCTTTATTCTTTTTTAAGTTTTAAAGGTTTGTATTAGAATTACCAGATTGTTTAATGCTTTCCAACCTTTAGAATTTGGTAATGAATTAGTCATAATATTTTCTACTTCCAAGAGAATATATCATGAAAGCATTTAGGGGAGGTAGTGTTGTTATTGTAAATGTTGAGTATCTTTTGTATGTCTGCATGTGATTTGGAACTGGATGCTTAAGTTTATCTTCCTTAACTTGCTTACTTTTCAGTCACTGCCCTTTTTTACTGCCTCAAGGTGAAGACGTACAAAAGGTTTTAGATGAGTGGAAAGAATACAAAATGGGAGTGCCAACCTATGGTGCAATTATTCTTGATGAGACACTTGCAAATGTAAGTACGGAAATAATCGTGAAGGGTGGGCTAGAGCGAAGGATGGGATTTGCTGGCAGGAGTAATCTTTTTGTTCACATTTTTGATCTGTGCGGAAGGGGGGAAGTGCTTCAGATTCACAAAGACCTGACAGCTGCTTGACGCTGTTGAAAATATAATACGAGAGACAGTAAACACACTTCCACTTGCGTTCCTACTGTTTCGTTGTTTGGCTGGTTGTTTTTTTTTGTTCTGAGTTGCATGATCACATAAAAAAAAATGCAGTTCTTACTGGAACATGGAAAACCTAATGAGTTCTTTTCCTCCAGGCTAAAGTATCATTTTGGAGAAGCAGAAGACATAAGGGAAGACATGTAATAGGAATTGGTTAAAATAGTGGGTGTTTGAAGTTGCATTCCCTTGTATTTTGCAGGTTCTTTTGGTTCAGGGCTATTTAGCCAAGTCTGGTTGGGGATTTCCAAAAGGGAAAGTAAATAAAGAAGAGGCTCCTCATGATTGTGCTGCTAGAGAGGTCAGTTGTATTGTATGTGGTTCCCTTAAATTTGATCTAAAGAAATGAAATGTTGCTGAGAGCAGAACATATGCATTAGATGAAAAGACATTTTACTTGAATACTCTCTTCATTGAAATCAGGTAAATAAATATATTTTCTTGCAGCAGGCTTCTGCTGTAGCTTTTAGTGCTTTTCTGACTTCCAGACTGATAATCAAGGATGTGGTTATATAATTTAAAATGACAGTTCAATGTTTTTAATTGTTTAGCACTAACTTGCTAAATTAAGCGGGTACTAAAGTTGTGTCCCTGTATGTGTGTACTCTCACTATTGCTGCCCTCACAGATTCTTTCTAAAAGAAGATACAGCTAGGACTGCTGACCCAAACTGAACAAAGATATATTCCATGCAAAAATCCCAGTTGCCTGGCTTTCTTACCATGCCATTAGCTGTCATATTCAGTGTATAAGCTGGGGGTGAAATTAGCTGGGGGAGTGTAATTGCTACTTGGGGACTGGCTGGCCATTGGTTGGTAGGTGATGAGCAGTCACATCACTTCCTTTCTCTTCATCTCTTTTACTATTTTATTGTCTTTATTATAATTACAATTTATCATTATTATTATTATAATGATTATAATAATTATTATATTTTAGTTTTATGTCAATTATTAAACTGTTCCTGTCTTAACCCACAAGTTTTCTCCTCTTTTCCCTCCAATTCTCTCCCTTGTCCCACTGGGAAGTGGGGAGGGGTGAATGAGTGGCTGCCTGATGCTTAGTTGCTGCCTGGGTTAAACCATGGCAAAAGTTTAAGTTTTAGTATTATCTTTGGTGATTGGGAAATTTTACATGCTTTGTGGGATTTTGAATATTAATTCCAAGGGTCACCATAACTGTAAAGTGGTAGAAGAATGTAATTTAACTTATGTATGGTGGGCTGTGTAAAGAGATTCATGTGACATAATATGTCCAGATTTTTTAAGATGGAAAACTAAGATGAGGGCAAGTAGTAAGATGCATTAGCTTTCTTCACAATTGGACTGAATCAGTATCTGAGAAATCGTAGATTTTTTTTTTCTCTTTAATAAGCCTGTCAGTGATGCATGAATGAAAAAAGCCCATACTACTGCTTCCCTGATGGTGCTTTCCTTACCACTCATATCTTTAATATGGGCTTAGAAAAGCAAAAGAAAGTGTTAGATCCTAACATTGCACTATTATGTGATGACATGCATGAAATACAGTTTCATGTTGGCAGTTACTGATCTCTTGAGTGTTGAACATTATTTATTTAGTATCAAATGAGTTGCCAAAACAAACATTTGAGCTACAGATGCTGTGGACTGTCATTGCAGATCTCAAGGGCTGGGAAAGGATGAGCAGAGACTTAAGGTTAACTTGATTATTCAATGCATGTCCCTTCCCCCCTACTGCATAAATAGCTTGTTCATTTAAACAACTTCTAGTCAAGTGCTTTTAGCATCAGTCTAAACGACTGAACAGAAGGGAGAGGAGAACATAAAAATACACGGACCACGACACAGCGGACAGGACTAAGTGTGACTGCTTCAGGAAGGAATGACGTCAGATATACTCTTTGCTTCAAGTTATGCTAGCAAAAATATAGTGAGCACAGTTGTACTGTGAAAAAATCTTTTGATGGTGTTTTTAATTTGGAGAATTTAGATTACAGTAGTAAACAACACTGTTGCTATGATCTCTTTCCATCAAGGTAGATAGTCATTGTGGATAAACTGGCAAATTTTTCAAGGCTTACATGTGGCCAGGAATCAGGATGCTTGTAATATCTGCGCATAAATATTTCTGCTACTTCTACTGGAGTCAGCACATGTTTAAAACCATAAACTGCATCTGTATAAGGTCTAATAGAAGAGGTCTTCACTGGGCAGTGTCTACACAGTTCAGTAGTATTTCAGAAGTTGGTGAGGGCAAAGCCATACTAAATAGATTATCTTCTTGGTAAAAAGAGTTTCTATCTTGAATTCACTTAGATCATCTAGAAAGATAATTTAGGAAGGGAAAGCATTGCTGTTAGTAGTAAGAGTAAGTGTGGACAAAAAAGGTACAGTCTCTTAGTTGAGACAGTGTGTGGTGACAGTTTTGTTTGGTTTTTTTTTACCCCTAAACTCTGCTATTCTCAATATAAGTTAGATGGGAAGATGACTTGCTTTTTATTTTGGTATGAGGGTTTGTATGTGCTGATTTGTAGACCAACTGATCAGTTATTTGCTTTTTCATATTTGTGCTTAATTTCCTCTGCATTTTGAAAAATGAAACTTACATACATTTTGCTGATACCAATATATATGTTGGTATTTCACATAACATAGTTTGAGAATTTCATAGAATAGAATCATAGAATGTATTGGGTTGGAAGGGACCTTTAAGGGTCATCTGGTCCAGCCTCCCTGCGGTAAGCAGGGACAATGTTACTAGATAAGGTTGCTCAGAGTAAAGTCTTGTTTTTCCTAGCAGTGGCCTGCTTTCACTTATAGATCTGAAAAAAGATCACTCCTTCCTTTGTCATGATAGGTTCTGAAAGGATAAATCCGAATACACACACTTATTTAATCTATGTGCTTCTCAGGTGTTTGAAGAAACTGGGTTTGACATAAAAGATTATATCTGCAAAGAAGAATACATTGAGCTGCGAATTAATGATCAATTAGCACGACTGTACATCATTCCAGGAGTTCCTAAGAACACAAAATTCAACCCCAAAACTAGAAGGGAAATTCGGGTATGTGTTGTCTTCTTTGAATCTATAGGAACTGTTGTGGAACGTGATTTTTAAAGCTAATGGTCTGTAAAATAATGAAACTATCAAGCGTGAATACATCAAATACTAGGTACAAATGGCATCTCTGCCCTGTTGCGGGATGTCAAATTGCAGCTCTACTGCAAAGACTCATTATTTAGTGTCTGTCTGATGTCTTCATTAATAATGAAAACAACATTAGAGCTTGCTGTCAAACTTTTAATTTTGCCCTTCTTTTCTCTTAGGTGATGTATGTGTTAATAATTTCATGTTATGCCTAGTTATAGCTGCCTATGTAACTATATATTTTTCTGAAGATTTAATTATTAATTGATATCATACAAAAGCCTACGTATTGGAAGTAGAAACTAAGGATTGTGTTCTCTCATGGCTAATACAATGCAGACTTAGAAAACAGTGTATTTTAAGGAGAAGCTTGGGAAGGGGACACAAAATAGGAACTATATTGGATGGTTTGTGTACCATTAGGTTTTTAAAAGGTATTGTGAAAGAGAGAAGCAAAGACTCTGGTAGTAAACTTGTTCGAAACTTGGTTTTTGATATCCATAATCTTTGATGTTGCAATGTCTTTCTTATATTGCAATGCAGTTTAAAGCAGCTATCCCCATATTTTCATGCAGATGGTGCCAAACAGGGCATCTGGCGTTTTAAATAAGAAAAGGTTCTTGTAGTTGGCTAGACAGGAGTCGCTTAATTTCATAGAATCACAAAATGGTTTGGGTTTGAAGAGACCTTAAGGACTATCTAGTTCCAGCCCCCCTGCCGTAGGCAGGGACACTTCCCACTAGACCAGATTGCCCAAAGCCCCATGCAACTTGGCCTAATTTCTTGCATTAGAAATCTGTTTTTTTAAATATTAATCTATAATTTATAACACAAATCCCATCTCTTGCCCATATTTTTTTCTTCTATAACAAAACCTTAAACTTGTTCTTCAAACTAAATCTCCATATTTCTGATAATTTTTGAACTAGTATTGGTGGTCTACTTTTGATGGCATTTTAAATAAAAATAACAATAGTAGTGGCTTTGGAAGTTATTTAAAGCCTAGACTTTTTTTATGGCATTCAGCATGCAGTGATTTGATGGGTTGGTTTTTGAAGCTCTTACTCAGAATTCAGTTGTTAGATAATACCTTTCATACTTTAGGTGCCATATTTTGCAATGAGTATGTGCTGTACCATCTGTTACTCTGTAGTTACACTCAGAAGAGTGTTAATTGTTAATTAACCTTTTGTGAAAAACCCTGTTGTGCTCTGTTAATTAAAGTCTTCCATTGTAATTTTTTAATTAAAGGAAATAATTGTGGTTGATACACATTTGTAACATTCTGTAAGGCTACAGTATTGGGTATTTTGACTTTTTGTTTGTTTGTTTTTCTAGAATATTGAGTGGTTTTCCATTGACAAACTGCCATGCCACAGAAATGACATGACCCCAAAGTCTAAGCTGGGTTTGGCACCTAACAAATTTTTTATGGCAATTCCCTTCATCAGGTATGTTTGAAATGAGGCAAATGCTATGCCAGTGCCTTCCAGACTACTTTAATTTCGTTAGATTTGTTTTAGTTAAGTAGATATTTTTGCACTTATTGCTCACAGGCCATTGAGGGAATGGATTTCCCGAAGAAATGGAGATTCCACAGATAGTGACAATGGATTTTCATCTACGGGGAGCACACCCTCTAAGCCCAACTTGGAAAAAGCTAGGTAAGAACCAGGTCAGTTTAACACCTCTGTATCTTTTCTTAAGAGAATGGATTAGTAAAAAAAAAACAAACAGGCATATCTTATAGGATTGTTGATAGGATGAGTAGTTAATGTCATGATACACTTTTTTTTTTTTCAAAATCCTCACATTTGTCAGAACTGAGATAATAATGTCTTCAGTCCTGCCTGTAGGACACAAAGAGCAGAAGCTGGCACAAGTAGATAACTTTCAGTACTTCAAGTTCAATGCTTTTAGCACTTCCACACAGGAGAAATATGACTCTTTAAAGTAGAGTACTATCAGAAGTAGTTAGCTATATAAAAGCTGTGGGGGTCAGCAGGGGAACTACTGCTGCTGGCTTTTGATTAAGCTGAGCTAAAAGCAGTAGAGCAAAATTGAAAACCTGTAGTCCCAAAGAGAAGTTTATGCTCCAGTAATTCAAGTCAGATCAGCACCAACACTGACAACAACAGGACAGATTCCAGTGTGGACCCAGCCTGCTCTCTTTGCATATCATAGGCTTCCTACCAGTAGGCAATTCCAAGTTGGGTGAATGCAGTGAGCATTGTTACAGTTTCTGCACTAGGTTACTTAAGGTTGTCTTTCAGATTGTTCTTGGAAAGCAGATAATTCTTTCATATTTCTCTTCTGCTGTCAATAGGTTTGAGGTTGTGTTGTAAACCCTTTTTTCCTGTACTAGATCCAAACTTCGCTGTAGTCAGCAGGTGTTTACAGATGGTGTTTCAGGAGAGCAATGTGTGAAGCCAAAACAGCCACAGAAGCCATATAATCATTCTGAGATGTCCGAAGCTCTGAAAATAAAGGTAAGCTGTTTCTTAGGCAAACATAAGCATTTGGGCTTTTTAAAACAGATGTTCATAATGGTTCCTCTCTGGAACAAGAATACTGAATTTTATCACCATAGCATGCAAAAATAAAAACATGGGGAAAAAAATCTTGCGAATTCTCAAATTTATCCGACACTAGAGGTGGTAGATATCAGATGGTAGTTGTCATTTCAGGTACAGATAGTAATAACTACTTACCATTTTGGTGTCCTCTGTGTACCATTTTCAGATATTTTTGGTAGCACTAATATATGTGCATCAGTGTATGGGAACTCACTGAACTCTTGTGTAATACAGTGTTTGTAACAGTGCAAGAGAGACTAAGTAACAGCGGATAACTCTAACTTGAGTGTATATTTGGTTAATTTCAGCATGCTCCAGTTTGTATACAAAAGGTATCATTGACATGTTTTAAGGTTATTTGAGGGAAAGTTTTAACTAATAAGTAGGAAGTGTCAGTGCAATGAAGTTCAATGCTGCCATTTAAACTCTTCTCATTACTACATTCTGGACTTAATGGCAGAGTCAGAGCTTGAAGAGTAATGGCAGAAAGCAGTATCAAGAGACTTCCAGCCAAAAGAAGCGAACAAATGGAGTTTACAGTCAACCAGTCAAGCAAAACCATACCTCGGTAAGAAACATGCAGTGGCTGTCTCAGTAGCAGGTTCCAGTAATGCTTAACAAATGTCTAGGCCAATGTCCTGCTGAGAGAAAGTAGAGTGTATATCTGTCGAAAGTATATATGATCAGAATATTAGCTATTTGTAGAAATATGACATTTCTTACCTTGTGTGCATATACAGCTATAGACAAGCATACTAAATTTCAAAGTTGGCATTTTGAAAGCAATTCTTATTTTAGCAGTTGAACATTTGTCAGTTGTTTCAGTAGACAATTCTGTAGCTTTCCAGATTCCTGTCAAGTCATAAGTCAGCGTAGTACACATCTTATTTATTCATATATGATACATTATTGTGAGCATGGAATTTTATTATGCAGCAATTAGATACAAAGTGGTAATGCATACAATTATTATTTCCTGTCTCTCTAGCAAAAATGTTGAGATGCAGACTTGACTTGAACACCAGAATCTCATACAGTTTTTTAATCATACAGTAGAACTACATCAGTGTGTAAAAGTTCCAGTATGACACTCCTGGTTTGTTATCTTTTCCTTACAGTAAGGGAAACTTTGTCCCCACAGTTCTGCTGGCTGGGAGAAGGCTCACTGAGATGTGTCTCTTTAATATAATGAGGTTTTTTGTTTTGTTTTGTTTTGTTTTGTTCCCTCCACTCTTCTTTATGGCTCTCCAATTCTATGTTCTTGGCTCTTTTGCAGCAGTGAGCCCTGGTTCTCCACGCAGCTCAGCTGGCTTCTCCAGGCTTTAGTTTTTCTTGTTTATTGGCTGTAAACTAGATTCTTCCCATTCTGGCTTGTGGTTATTACCTTCTCTCCGTTGTTTTGTGGTTTGGGTTTTTTTTTTGTGTGTAAAAGTGCAGAAACCATAAATTCTGGTCTTGTAAAATCCTCACTGTAGCAAGAAATGGTTAGTTGCCTTGGGACTGAGGGAAGAATGAAAAGTCAAAGAACTGCCCAGAAATTTGGCTATATAGAAAAAAACTGTAAGACGAATCTGTAGAATTTTGATGGAAACAAGTGAAACTGTTAATACTCCAAAATTACTTTTTAGGCTCTTTACAGACTTTGCTAAATACTTTTGTGGCGTTTCATTTGCATTTTCATGATTGTCAGTCTTTTGAAGTTCAAATATTTCACATCCTAGTGATAATTTTCTGATACAATTTGAAGGCCGAGGAACTCTTGATTGGCACAGAGTGCAAAGGGCCATACTTTCTCTGTGGTTGTATACTTACAGCAGCATACCTGAGGCTAAAACTTAACTCTTCCCTGGAGAGTTCTAAGTTTCTGTCTCTAATGCATGCTAATTTAATTGGCAGTAGCAGTGTGTTTGCAAATACATTCCCTTTGGTTTTTGGGACAAGCCAGTTGAAGAATGTGAATATGTATGTGTAACTCTGATTCCACATGATCCTATGCAAGACCTTTCTGGCTTAAAATATTTAGAAAGCCCTCAAATTTTTTCCCTAAAAGCCTACATTTTAAAAACGGTTTGTTGACTGTTAAAAGGTTGCATGCCCCTGAAGGACTTGTGGACTTGAAGCATGCTTACTTGATGACAGAATTCATGCCAAGTAAAATGAAAATTATACATCAGAAGGTCTGTCAATGCAAATATAACCAGCATGCCTTTTAGCTGATGCTGAAGCTATACCCATAAGAAATAGAATGCAGTTTCTTTATGAAGTGTGTAATGTATGGTCATTCTCTTAACCAGAAATGTGAAAAAAAGCTTAATCCAAGAAGACTTCAAGATAACTTTGAAACAGGCAAGTGCAGTTGGAATTTTTCTTTTGTCATGTGTTACAGGCTGAAGACACCTGAATAATGATGGTTGAGGGCTTTTCCTTGTGTGTTAATTACTGAATATTATACAGCCATATTTTTCTAAGGCAGCCTGAGTGTTGGTGGGGTTTTTGTTTGTTTGGTTTATTTGGAGTGTTTTTTGTTGTTTGTTTAATTTGGTTAACTTCATGTGCTGCGTCATGTTGATTTTGCAAATCTTGTTCTTAATTATTAAGACTGTCAGATTATACCAGGCAGCTGAGTAAAAAGTAACTGAAAGCTGGTTTAGGAAAATAGCATCTAAGTCAACACAATGCTTTTAATTGAGTATGAGTTCAAGGCTCTCTGTCCTGCTAGTAATAAGCTGCATATGATACTGGGCTACTCTGGAGAGTGCATGCAGTTCTTACTGCCTAGAAAACAGGGCCATATTTCTTTCCTCCATGTTAAGAAATGACTTGCAAAACAGCACCTGTGGGTAAAACTGGGTATTGAAAGATTCCCCAGATTGTTGTGACTTAATATTTGTTCTAGCCACTAGATGACTTGTAAATATGGCTGTTTGAGTTACCTTCTAATGCTTATGACACAGACATGCAGATTTTGTCATAAATGTTAATTGGATATACATTTGAGGTATGGCTTTGTATTGTAATTGATACTTTTATCGATAACTGTTTAAAATTTGTTTCATGCTTTTTTCTCTTTAAGCAGATGCAGCGTATGAGATGTGTTGCTCCAGTGAAGACCCACTGCCAGAACATGTAGAGGGACTTTCTGTGGCATGCAATGGCCATTACAAACTTGCTTTCTCATCAAGAGCTTTCTTGAGTTTCAAGTTTGACCATGATGCCATCATGAAAAGTTTTGACCTCTGACAGCAAACTTACTAGGAACAAAAATCAGACTTGCCTGTTGCAATTGAGGGGGTTTCTTATCCAGCCTTACTCTTTCTCAGGAGTTTTTTTTAATTTTTGTTTGTTTCTTTGTTTGTTTTTAAATGCAATGCAGGGACTGACTGGTGGTTTGGAAGGGTTTGTTCTCTTTGCAGTATGGAAGTGGTGTGGTTAAGTGTTGCACTTTAAATGCATTATAGCCTTTGTCCACAAAAGTACCTTTCCAGTGTTCAGTTCACTTGTTCCTAACCGTGCATTAGAGGGCATTCTTTTTTATTTTTTTTAACTTGCTGTCTGTTTTGTAGAATGTCATTGACTTTTAAAAAAAAAACCACAAACTGAAGTATACCAGCTTGCTAAACATTAACTGCTCTGATGTAAATTATTTGGCTTGTTAGTCATTGCGTAATACATTGCAATATTATGGCAGTGGTAATGAAACTGATTCTCAGAGGACTCCTCTGTCCTAGTGATTTTGAAACCAAGTTGCACATTTCAGACCTAGCCTCAGCCTGTTACACTTTGTCTTGGTTGCTTGCCCAAAATACCTTCCCTCCTTCACACTGATAGTTTCTGTTGGCTTGTGATTGGTAGTACTTGGAGTCAAGCCTGTAGCATGTTGACTTCTTGTACCTGTTCTGCTGCTGTCTTCATAAGGGTACACAAACTTGGTAGAACTTAGCCATTCAAAGTGTCTAGCTTCAACTCTTATGCACTGCCCCCAGCGGGGTAAGAAGAAGCTGCAAAGTTTTATGTTATCCCAGTTGCAGCTGCTTTCAAAAAAGGAAAGCTTAAACTTTGTGAGAGGTTACTTGTGTAGAATTTATAGTGAATGTAAATACGCCTCTGTAGATCTCACTGATGAGGAAGGCAGGTGCATGGATAACAGAGTCATTGTGTGACACTGAACGGCTTAATCAGGCCTGCAATAACTATTCTAAGGGTGTCCAGTATTGTATTCTGTGCTGTTGTCCTCAGATCTCTTGTGTAGTATATGTTCTGTATATATCCAGTAGTACTGAATTGCACTTGCAGCTAGCATTTAGATGATGTAGCCTCAGTTGTTTTCAGCTACAATCCTTTCTTAGTAAAAACACAAAAGACTGGGGCGGGAGGAACAGCAACAAAAACCCCCGTAAGAGTTGAGGTGATGAACTGTTAAATCACCTCTATGATTCAAGTTAGGGGGTTACGGAGGCGAAGAGCTCCTGAGCGGAGG